TCTTTTTTTTTTGTATTACATAATAATTAATAATACACGTTCTAATAGAGAGAGGGGGAATAATTGACATGAGAGTTTTTTTACTACAACAATTAGAAGTGGAGGATTCGAAACCCACGATTTTTTGGTTAGAAACATGTACCAACTGTCGTTGAAAGTTCACGTTGACAATACCAGAAAGTTCACGTTGACAATACGAGAAGTTTATTGATAGGTAATGCTATTAATGGGCTTCACTCAAATAAGGAATAGTACAATCCACTATTTCTTCTAAATGAGCCATTTTTTTTATTGGATTGCTCCCACTCTCGAGCTTGCAAAATAAATGGAGGATGAGTTTTTGGAGTTAGCTCATCCTCTTGGAATCATGAACTTTATCCCGACCACTATAGYATGTGTGTCATCCATGGCATAATTAGGGGCATGATAACTTTATGTTATCCTCGCCTTCCTCTGACTTATCACCGRCAGTTTGTTCAAGATTCCAACACGGTTGAYAACTAAACGCGAGGATTGTGTTCATGCGTAGTTCTCCATCCAAGAGTCACTTTATCATATTCTAAATCAAATGGTTTCAATAAATCTCCTACCACAGTTAGTCTTTTACAAAAAAAAATAAAAATAAAAAGAAAAGAAAACAGATACCAATTTGTGGTATATGCAAAAAACAAGTTCCATAATGGTTTGAAAAAGAAAAAACAATAGAAGTTGTCATCTAGTTGACGACCATCAACAAGAATGATGTGACCATTTTAAAGTATTTTGATCATATATTTAAAAAAAATTGGTTAAATTATCAAATTTATCCCTATGATTCGGTCAAATCTCATCGAAAATTCCTAAATCGCTCCTTAGCCACTTGAAAATTCATCCATTTTTCCTTTTTTATACCTAGCCCTGGGCTATAATATGTGAGCCAAATAGAAAACATTAACTCATTGCGATCTAAACAGAAAGTATTTTAATATGGTAACAACTTGTAGTGGCAAAAATAATTTCTAAGGTTTTACAAAACCATATCAACCAAATTAATACCMAATCAAAATTTTGTAGACTAAATCAAAGCTTTTAAAATCATAGAAACCAAATTAAAATTAGGTCGAAACTTTTAAAACTCTATACATCAATTTGAAACTAAACTCAAATCATACCAACTAAAGTTCAAGGAAATTAAATAGTATTGGGGTTTGGCTAGATATTAAAAGAGTGAATTGTCCTACATCGGAAAGGTACGAGGAAAGAAGTGTTCTCCAACTGTTGTAAAATGAGTCCATGACAGTTGAGTTTTATTCATCCCAACTTAAGTACTTTAAGTCTGATATACTAGTTCGAGTTAATAAAACGATATTTGTTTTAAGAGAGTGTTTTATATAACTGAGATTGGGGAGATAAATTTATACGATTGTAATAATTTTTCATATATTGAATTTTCCTCCTTAATGGAACGTAGTTTTTTTCTCCAATTTGGAAATTTTCACTTTAATTCTCGTGTTTCTTACGTGGTTGCTTTTTTTTTTTAGTTTTCAATTATTTTCTCCTTATTCCTAAGGAGTAGGAAGTTTTTTTTTTTTCCATCAAATATAGGAAGCCACAAGCACTCAACAAAGCCAACATTAAAAATTAATAATGGTAAGAGAGAGAGAGAGAGAGAGAGAGAGAGAGAGAGAATTAGTGTGTTTTTTAAGACAAAAATAACAGCTAATTGAAGAATGTTGGTAAAGGACAAAGGGAAGAATAAAATGACAAAAGTAGAGCTTTTGGTTTTTGTGTAGAATTTTTTTTTTCTTTTTGAAAACATATAATTAAAAAGTTGAAATCATTTCCTTTGTGATCGACAGGTTTGCAAAACATAAGCATATATTCTCTCTCTTTATCTATCTAATTAGAGAGAGAGAGAAAAATAAAATTAAAAAAAGAAAAAAAGAAAAAAAGAAAAAAAGAAAAGAGAGAGACAAGAAAGTCAATCTTTTGTTGTATGTTTAGGACAAGATTCCATGTCTTTGTCCAAAAGCTTAGCTGTTCCCATCTTTCTCAAAAACAACACTTCAATAAGCCAATCCCCATTTTGGGTTCTTAGGATTTGGCCTTCCTCTTTCTTTTCTATTTTGGAGTTTGTCACTTTTCATCTTTCTCTTTTTTTCTTCCTAAATTTTATTAGGATTAAATATTATTTTGGTACTGTATTTTCCGTTTTTGGTTTATTTTAATTCAGGTACTTTTATAATGTTATTCTAGTTCTCGTAGTTTTAATTTTTGGTTTGTTTTAATTCATCTATTTTCAAAATGTTCATTTTAGTCATTGTACTTTCAACTTTTAGTTCATTTTAGTTTGTGTGCATTCAAAATGTTTATTTTAGTCATTGTATTTTCAACTTTTGAGGTTCATTTTAGTCTGTGTACTTTCAAAATGTTCATTTTAGTCATTGTACTTCCAGCTTTTACTTCATTTTAATTTATGTAATTTCGAAATGTTTATTTTGGTTTATGTACTTTCGAAAGGTTCATTTTAGTAATTGTATTTTCGACTTTTGTTTATTTTAATCTCTATACTTTTAAAACGTCTGATTTGGTTCCTATACTTGTAAAAAAAACGACTATTTTAATCTATATTGGTAAAATTTTGACACAAATTTTATACACAATGAATACACTTTAATACATGTTTATGACTACATCTCAAGAGATTTATCGAGTCGTCATGCTAAAATTATTATCAAAATAAATGAGATAAAAATGAAAATGAAGGGACCAAAATGAACAAAAATTGAAAGTATATAGACCAAATTCACGTTTTAAAAGTATAATAACCAAAATAAACTAAAGTTGTATTTAAACCAAAATTATACAAAAACACTTTTTATCTATTTAGTTTATTTCAGTTTTGGCTTTCATAAATTCAATTCTATATCTCATACACAAAATAGAGACTTATGATACACTTTTTCAAATTTAAAAATCTATTAAATACAAAATAGATTTTAAAGTTCAAATATCAATTAACTTTGAAAGTTCATGGGTCAAATATATAATTTAACTAAAATTTTAAACCAACGATAAATTATACAAAATGGTAATTCTCCATCGAGTTGGTCTCAATTTTGCCTGTTTTTAAACGTTGGAGGTATATGCCAATTACCGCTGAATTATACTCGATTTGACTAAGAAAGAGGATTTTTTAACAACAAATGAAAATATTAGGATTAAAATTAAAATGGATAAAATGTTAAAGCACATATGTTAGAGATATTTTATATAATTTAGTCTTTTTTAATCAACACCACTTTGCATTAAAAAAAGTATTATCAAAACAAACAATTGGACTTCTTATTCTTTGAATTTATGTTAACGTGGTAAGATTGTAGCTTTAGCTTTTATAAATAATAAAAAATATATTGAAACAATTAAAAGGAAAAGACCATGACTATAATATATTAATTTTTGAAAAATAACTTGAAGGCTAAAATATAGTTAATACTCCTACATAATCTCAATTCTTCGATTTCTCTCCTTAAAAATTAAGAATTTTCGTTCTTCTAAATTCATTCAATCTTAGTTAAAATCCAACGATGTCAACCATAATGTGAGAAACAGCAAAAGAAATGGAACTCCCTTCCTCCTCACTAAGACGAAACAACAAAAAGATTTAAAAAAAAACTTTATTAAGAGGAGACATCTGACAATGAAAAAGAAGCAAACAACGATAAACACTCCCCCTTTCCCCTTCTCCCCAACGTAACTTTACTTTCACTTAGTTAACATATCAACAAAAAGACATTAACTTTACAAGCATTCCTTCAACCAAACGAGAGACAGCAAAAGATAGAGAACTTCCTTCCTCCTTCCCACTAAGACAGAACGACAAAAGATAAAAACTTTATTAAGAGAAGACATCTGATAAGAAAAAAGAAGCAAATAACGATAATCCTCTCCCACTCCGAATAAACAACAAAATTAGCACTTAAAAGAGAGAGAAGAGAGAGAGGGAGAGAAAGAACACTATAGTTGTCCCTAATGAGAATACATCCAAACCACCCAACAAACTTGAGGGGGGGGGGGATGGCCAATGAAAAGGGAGGTTGTGGAGTTTGATGTTATCCCAAATGCCAAACACCCCCCTTCTAAGAATAGGCAATGAGGAGATGACAAGAAATAATCAAATCAATGTTCCAAGGATAGTGAAATCCATGATTTGGACATGGCGTCCAATCATTTTTGGCTGCAAAATTTTATGCTATTTTTGGAGGAGACGTGGGCAACCCATGTCCCTTTAGAGTAGAGAGATGACTTTTGCCAAAACACTATGCCCACTTTTCTTCTTTTTTCTTCCATCAAACCAATCTTCTCATTCAAATCCCAATTGGGTTGTCAAGAGGACGAATAGGGGGTTAAAAAAGTGGGTTTTTAACTACTTTCCCTTTCTCCTATTGTGATTAAAAAAAAAAAAAAAAAA